TCTCATCACCTGGACCCTCTGCAGGGCAGGTTGGATCTTAACCCGTGGTTTGCTCTGCCAGTGTAACGATCATAACCTAGACTCGTAAATGTGTGAAAGTCAGCGAGTCACTCCCTCCGCCCTCGGAGGAAGCCAACGATGGTGGAGGTGTCCCTGCCCACTGCAGGGTCATGGTCTCGCTGCCCGGCAGCAGTTCTGCTCCAGGTTCACCCTTGGGACTTGTACCTGCTCAGTTTTACGGACAGTGCTCTGGGTGCTGTTAGACTTCCCTGTGCTGTGACGGGGTCATCAACAACACCGGGATGGCCGGGTGGGCTGGCAAGGAAGAGGGCAGTCAGCCTGGTGCCCTGCAGCCCTGAGGCCAGTGGGAAGGGGAAGGCAGAATCGGTTCGGTTCAGCTACTTGGTGCACAGGACCTTCAGGGCCTGACAATGATTACGGACAGTGCTCTGGGTGCTGTTAGACTTCCCTGTGCTGTGACGGGGTCATCAACAACACCGGGATGGCCGGGTGGGCTGGCAAGGAAGAGGGCAGTCAGCCTGGTGCCCTGCAGCCCTGAGGCCAGTGGGAAGGGGAAGGCAGAATCGGTTCGGTTCAGCTACTTGGTGCACAGGACCTTCAGGGCCTGACAATGAGGGGACAGGGAAGGGATATGTGACCTGCTCGGTCCACGAGAACGGCTGCTTGCCTTATAAAATGGTGTGAGTTATGCTAACCACGTCACCCGGGGTTGGGGGCAGGGGGTACAGGTCACAATTCCTTTAAGAATGGCTTTACAGAAAGCATCTTGATGTCTTTGAATCAAATATTAACAATTTATTTATGGTTACTCTTCACTGTCTTCATTGGTTCAGTTCTATCTCGGCCATTGCCTAACTGTGAGAATGCAGAATGTCTCTGAGCCATTACTGAGTAGATGTGTGAAATGTTTTCACCTTGGTAGAATTATTTCACGTCTGTATTATTGTCCTCTGTGAACAGAGCTGCCTGCTGCTTTAGCTTTCTTCTACCTCCCTGCCAGAGAGAGAAAGTCTGTCTGTCTTGCATGGTAAGGTCCCTAAGCTGTTGCAGCCAGTAGCTGCTTTGAGCGAGTGTTAATTCTGACAGCTGTCATAGCCCGCTGCACTGTAGGCTGGAGTTCCTCTGCTGCGCACTCCCTCTGTTCAGCAGACCATAATACCCTGCAGAGTCGATGGTGAATGAACGAGACAAAGACTTTCTGCAGCTCTGAAGCGTTTGGATGTCGGTACTACATGAAACTCCACGAGGCAGCCCGCTCTGTGAGGCGTAGTTCACGATATCTGTGACTACATGTTGCACAGTGCCTTTCACAAACATAATTCGGGGAAAGCAACTTGTTTGCTTACACTCTGAAATACAGGATGCTGTCATTCGAGCTCAGATGTAAAATACTTCAACGTTCCTGTAATAAACTGCCTTGGCAACAGCTTTCTATAAAAGGCCTGGGGGGAATTGGAGTCGAGATGCTGATTGCAGCGTTTTCAGGCTCCTCTGGTCTCATGTCATGCCAGGGCAAGGGAACGCTGCTGCCTCCGGAGCCGTGGGTGTGGTGCAGGGGTAATGCTAGCGCCTTCTCCCTGCCTTCGGGGGCTACAGAGGCTGTTCTCCAACACAGAACCGGCAGGCTGACCTTCCAAAGCGCTTACCTGTGCCGAACCGGGGCCTTTAAAACTTCTACTGCTGCAAACAAAACTGAATACTGAGGAAGTGCTTAAACCGAAACAAAAATTCATCCTTGCGCCTCAGAGCAGCATGAGGGGTGCGAGTGAGGCGTGCCGTTAATACTGCACCATCAACAGTTGTCTCTGCTTTCTTGATGGAGATCTCTTCCCCCTCCCAGTGAGTAAAGCTTTTCTTAATTTCTCCACAGATTTCCGCCCAGCCTGCTCCCAGTTTGCTGACCAAGTTTTCCTCAGGGTGTCTAAATTGCAGCTCGTCAGGTACCGCTGGCTGTTCCCTGCAGGGGCCTCCCAAGAGCCGCAGAGAACTTCAGCTCCCCGTTCACTGCCTCAGCAGCAGGATGCTACGCGGCAGGACGCACCCTCCGAGCAGGAAACGGCTTCTTTCAAGACCACCCCCTCCACCTCTGTACTTGGTTTTGGGGGGATGCGTGGCAGTGGCTATCTGACAACCGCCTGAAATTCTACAGCAAAAAGGTGGAAGAAATCTTCCATTTTGCTGACTTAATTGATAATCCTCTATTTTTCTATCTTTCCATATAATTCAAAAATGCATTTTCTAGGATACATTTCCAGGAAATGGTTCAGAGTTAGTTTATTTCCTGCATACTAAGCGCAGGCTGAAGTTCAAGACAAAATACAGAGCAGATACTGAACGTTCATCGCTTAAAACAAGCGCTTTCCTGTAGCACAGATAATACAGAAAAAGGAAATTCAGTCCTTATCCAAACTTACACAGCATGCCTGTACATAGATGTCTTAAAAAAACTAACCAGAAATGGCTCAGTTTATACTTCAAGAAAACTGTTCGCATATTTGCATTGTTTTTTCAACAAACACCAAAGTTTAAGGTTTATTTTTACAAAGGCTGTTGACTCTCAGTACTTCTAATACACAACTCTGCAGTTTCATATTACTGTATTTTAGAATACTGAATATTGAATTACTTACAATAAGACACATCTTTCTAGATTTTGATTATGAAACAGTTTCTCTACCTGGCTCCCAACTCACGCCAGATCTACTGTTTCCTTCACCTGATTTAACCCTGCAGGAGACAGCGGAAGTGGTATGAGCTCCACATAAAACCAGAGCTGTGAAGGCCTGGGTGGCAGATCACGCTGACCAACGCAGCGAGGAGTTCACCAGCACCTGCAAGATCAGTTACATCTTTGTGCTTCATCTCCCCTGGAGTTCATTCCGTTCCGGATTTCAGCATCATGAAACAAACAGACCTCCAGACAGGCTCTCACATCACCTTTCAGCAGTTAATTCTGACCTGATTTACCCCTTTTCTACACTCTGGTGCTGGTTTGGGGCAGGAACGAGCTGCTCTCCTACAGAGGGCTGGCTGGCCTGTAGCAACCAGGGGAACTTGTTTCATGCTGTCATACACCAGGCTCAGAGGTCGGGCTGGGTGCGCGTGCACGCAGTTTGCGAGACACGAAAGCGGCCCGGAAGGGGTTGGGTTTTAGGGTTGTTTTTGGCTAGCAGATAGCTTGCTTTCTCCCTGCTTTTGGGCTCAAAAGAGTTGCTTTTTTCTTCATTTTGCTATAAGTTTTATTTATATAATTAAATAGTTCTTATCTCAGTTTTCATGAGTTTCCCTTGGTTTTTTTTCCCTTCCAACCATTTCTCACTGAGTGCGGGGTAGTAGAGCAACTGGTGGTACTTAATTGCCAGATAAGGCTAAACCATGACAACTCTCTACAGGTGCTTCAGTACACAGCCAGAGAGAAATGTGGCCACCAATTCAGGTTTAATCCCTGCAGGTTTTGATTCTTTTGTAAATTACATTTTCCCCGGTTGGATATTCAGTCATGTTGAAATAACAGAGTTAGCATTCTGCATTCATTATTTCTCTGACTGACCCAAAGAATTTGGCTGGATATTCCCCAGCTGTCCAGTACCTTTGGTCAGGATCACAATGTGTCTACTTTAAGTAGTACTGATTTCCTTTTTGCATGGAATGATTTTCAGATAGAATAATTAAATGCAGTAGAGACACTATATTAGGAACACAGTAATTTACTATGCCCACTCGTGTCCTGTGAGCCTGAGGCAGAGAGTAAACTGGAGACTGGGCTCACAACAGATGGGCTGGGGAAGGAAGGTGGGAATTAGGGTGGATAGGTGTGCATAGGTGCCAGACCTATCGTGGACACAGTGGAGAAATGCTTATGGAAACACAGCACTGTGTGGGGGATCCATATGTATCTCAGGGGAAAAGCTTCTGGAAAGTCTTTTTCAAAAGCCTATCTATTATTTCTGCAAAACTATCACATCACTCAGTGTAGTTTTGATGAAGTGCAGGGGCCCCAGAAAACTCACCTAACAGTGCCTGATTTGTCAGCCTGGGTGCTGTTCTGCAGTGTCAGGCAGCTGGATCCAAGGACAGTGACCAGGATGGTGAAAGGCCTCGAGGGCAAGACTGAGGAGGAGTAGCTGAGGCCACTCGGTTTGCTCAGCCTGGAGCAGAGAAGGCTGAGGGGGGTCCTCGTCACAGCTACAACTTCCCCAAGGTGGGCGGTGGAGGGGAAGGTGCTGATCTCCTCTCTCTGGTGACCAGCAACAGGACATGAGGACATGGAATGCACCTGCCTGAGGGGAAGGTCAGACTGGGGAAAAGGCTCTTCACTGCAAGGGTGGTCGGTCACTGGGACAGGCTCCCCGGGGCAGCAGTTCCAGCCTGTCGGAGTTTGAGGAATGTCTGGATGGTGCTCTTAGTCATAGGGTTTAGGTATTCCTGCAAGGAGGAGGGAGTTGGACTCGATGTTCCTTAGAGGTCCCATCCAACTTGAGACCGTCTGTGATTCCATGACCCAAAGGACCACACTTTGGCTGAGGAAGGCTGGAGTGCAATAGCCGCTGGCTGATACAGCCAATACTTGCTTTCAGCCACTGCAGAGAGGGTATTTACGAGCCAGGGATTCTGCACTTGCCATTAGGCTTCCTCAGGCCACAGAACTTTATACCTAGGACACTCTGGCCGAGTTGTTTTCAGGACTAGAGCAGGAAGGCGGAGAGGCAGGTGGAAAGAAATCAGGTAGGAATCAAACTACCGAAGTCCTTAAATTTTTAACCAATTTACTTAAAAATCAGACAAGGCTGAAAGCTGACACTGCAGTACCACCCCGGGATCTTAAACAGTCGCAGACAGCGCACATTTTGGTATTCTTAACCATCAGGAATACCAATCTTCTATGGTGATACATCTTAGGATCTAAACAAATTTCTTCCCATGATGTGACCACATAGGACACTTGGCACAGTGCCACCCGCTGCACTTCTTGTAAACATTTACATGATCAAAACTGGGCTTATTTACAAAGGTTTGCATGCACAGCAACTGACATTTTCATCTAAAATAGTATTTTATATATTTAAGAAAGGGATGATATTGCATATTTCTATGAACAACAATGAAAAAACAGGAAGCACATTAAAAAGCTTAATTAAAACCAGCACATAGTTGAACTGAGGTAAAGTTAAAAACCTACTTCCTCTTGTCACTGATTACCGGGATAAAAAGAAGTGCCAACCTCCAGTCCAAGAACTGACACCCACAGAAGAGCCAACCATTATTCCTTTATATTTTGAAGTAGCCTTAATAAATGAGACTCAATAACCTGTTGAACTAAAGCAGAGGAAAAAAAAAAATGAGGTTAATAATCAGTGTTCAGTTTTTTTTTTTTCATATCTTTAGGGCTGTACAATTTTTTTCCTGGCAGATGCTGGCTTGTCCTGTACAATCATTTAATAATACGATGACTGGAACAGATTCACTCTGGGAAAGTTTGCATCCCTTCAGATGCAAAAGCCTCCTACAATGCAAAATCAATACACCCAGTAAGGGAGGGGATGGTTTTTGTAGGTGACGATCTGTTCTCTGGTTTGAATAGGCAGGTAACATATGGAAGGAAACCTTTAAATCTTCATAGGCTTATGGAAAGTAGGCAAAAGTGTTTATTAGAAACTACTTCTTTGGAACATTCCGAGACTGAAGCCTTGAAGCGGTCCTACATCTAGACATCTGTGAAGTTACTGTCCCCCATAAACACAGGGCTCTGCCTGGAAAAGCTACATGCACGATGCTGGGCTCATTTTTGGATTCAATTCATTTCTGCGACAGCAGACATTTCGCAGTTTTCGAAATGAAGGCAGCATGAGGGAAAACCAGTGCAGAATCCCTTCTTTCCCTCTGTTTTCCAGAACGAAGTAAGGTATCCTAATTCACTGATCCTGGCCCTATTACTGTCTGCCTCCCAGATGTACTAGAGCTAAAGCTAGTCTGACAGGGTAGGAGGGTTTTGGAAACGACATCACATCATGCCAAGCAACAGAGCACCTGGGTGAGGGGTTCAGGAGGGCTACAGGCTTCTTATCAGTGTCCAGCGTGACACACGCTCCTTCGTACAGGGCATGAGAGCAGCGCAGCTCCCCTTATCTGGATCGTGGCTGCACCAGCCCTACGTACCTTTATTTGTGCCTGCAGATGCAAGGTCCAGGTCAATGACGTTCTCTTACTAGGCGCACGGCTTTCTGAGACAGGGACAGAAGCTCCTACCCATTTGGGGCTGATACATTCACGTGTATTAGGACTTTTAGGACAGGGACGTTCTTACAGCTGCAAAACTTCCACTATGTCATTACAGCAGCTACATAAACATGGAGCGGTAAAAATAAAAGCAATGCATTTATGTTTGCAATACTCACCACTCCGATAGCCCAAGGCTACAGCCAAATCCATGGAATTATAGCCAGCATCTGTTTCGATAGTTGGATCAGCACCACTTTCTATGTAAAACAGAAGAAACTCGTATTTCTGATGAGGAGAACTGACAGTACGTTACTACTGATAATTCTGTTTGAACAGTCTGCTTACCAAGGAGAATTTTTACACATTTCACATGATTCCCATGCACTGCATAGAGCAGCGGTGTGCCTCCATTCTGTAAAAGCAGGGAAAAATGCTTTAGACAATGACTGGACAGTCTGCAACTGAAATTCATTAGCACACCAATACACTTTACGGGTCAGTAAAAGACTTCACATGTTTTATAAAAATAAGGTTCTGTTTTGGTTCTTCACAACTTCCATCTTTTTTTGTCTACTGTTCAGACTGCAGGATCACGCTCCTACAAGGATTCAGCATTAGTCTCATTCTCTTCTTACCAAGAAGTCAGAATTAGGAGGGCCAACTTCTCTTATCCTACAGAAGTTTTGAAACATTCAGGTATTTCAGAAGAACAATTTTCAAGCCCACACCAGTGCTGTGCCCTGTTTCATATTTCTGACCAAAGCACCCTCTGACATAAATTCAAGGTAGAGTCTTACCCAGTCATATTCATTGACATCGACTCCACAGTCAAGCAGCATTTTGACAATATCTGTGTATCCTTTACTGCAAGCCAGCGAGAGGGCACTTTCTCGCCCTTTCCCCAAAATCTGAGGATCTGCACCCTGAAATAATAATAATTAGAAAAGAAAATCAAACCACACTTTTTTTTTTTAAATGTGAGGTTTTGCACAGAACACTTTTTAACTGTACAGCAGGTCTGACAAACTTAGGAGGGCAAACTGAACTAAAAAGTAAATACATTTAAAATGGTGGGTTTTTCCTTACATTCTGGAGAAGAAATTCCACTACTGCTATCTGCCCATGAGCTGCAGCCCACATCAGAGGGGTAAATCCTTCTTCATCCTTATGATTAATTACATTTTCTGTTTAAAGAAAAAAATGCAACTTAGTTTAATCCAATCTATTTAATTTAGTGAAATAGTAATTTCACTACTGCACTGTATGAGCTGGTGAAATGTTGATGATTGAGGTACCAGTGTGTCCTACAAGTCACTCTCATCTTAACTTTAAAACCAAAATTCTGTCCCAATGGTGGTGCAAATATATTTGTCCAAGAAAGAAAGAAAAAAAATCCAACTGACTAAAGTAAAATTTAAGATTTGGGTTTATTTATCTTTTTAAGCCCTCAAAATCAAGCTCTGTTTTTAGTCAGAAATGTTACATGTAGTCTGTAATCTGGGCTGTATCTCTGGAAAGAAGGGAAGGGCTGCTTGAAAAAGAGTTACATTCAGTATAGTGCAGTAGAAAGTCATTCTTTTTCAATAGAAGGAGCCACAGAGTCTTGTAAAGAATTAGCTTTGTAAAACAATACAGACAGTACAGCTCCATTCCCCCCAAAGTTCATGCAATCACTAGGGTGTTTTGTGGAAACAATGTCCACCTCTAGTGCCGCTGGAAGAAGGAAAAGGATTTTTTAACAACTGGATGGTTGAAATAACTGAGTTGGATTTTTTTTTATAATATCCAAGTGCTTAAACATTTCCATGCTTATCATAGCACTGTAGTATGAACTTTTAACTGTTACTGACACTCCACAATCTATTTGCTTTCCATATACGTGTCTCATCACAAAGCACGTAGACTCAGCAACTCGTCACATTTCAAATAAAGATGCACTGAGAGCATGGCTGATTACTAATAATGCAGTAAGAATATATACTATTAAGAGTACTCAATTCAGTGTGTTAGGCAGAGTTGATGTTTTGCATACTTATTACAGACACACAAGTATTCACAATTAATACTATCACATGAGTAGCACTATTGTATTGCAGGTGGGACCTGTGGCTTAAACTACCAACATATAGCTCTATATGCTGATTGATTAAATAGAATTGGAAGCCACCATTATTAAACATGTTTTAAATTACAGATATGATAACCCCCCCCAAGCTATTCTGATAGAACTAACAGATTCTCCCTTCTTATTTCCATGGATTATCTATATAGCTGGGAAGCAGGGGGAGGAAGGGACTTACCTACAATTCCTATTAATGCCAAGGTTTAATTTCAAATGCAAATCATAGCAACGAGTGAATAAAAGACCAGTGAAACAATAATCCACACCCGCAAAGAACAGACACCTCAAATATCCTTCAATTTATACCAAAGCTGAGTATTTTTTATAATACAGCTACTTGGAAAAGTCAAGCGCAACAAAGTATAAACACCCCAAAGAAAAAAGGAAGGCATTTAACCTCCCTCTGTCTCACCTTGTTCAATACGGGTGGCCAGATACAACATTTCTCCCTGAGCTGCTAGCTGATGAACTGATAAAGCTGCAAAACGGGAAGCAAAAGCGTGCATTACTCATACCGATTCTCATTCTGCGCCACCGGGAGCTGGGCATAACATGCCCGGTGGCTTGAGCTGTACAGAACCCGGATGGGAGAGTGTAGATAGGTTTCACCTCATACTCTGAACAGGAATCACTATCTTAAACGCTGAAAAGTTTCCAGAGGGTCTCACAGGTTTAGGCAATTCTTTAATCAATGTGTAAATCACACTAGAAAGCAAAGCTACTTTTACCCTGACTCCTTATAAGCCAATCACATTACTAATATTTATGAAATGAAAATAAGCCCATTTTGATAAATAAGGGCTGTGTAGTTTAAAAGTGGCATCTAAGAGATCACATGTCATCAGGAGAGCTGTCATGCTGCTCAATAAAACCCACAGCATGACTTTCCCTCGCTACAATGTGGAACAGAACAGACATTACGTAACTATACACAAGGACATCTGCAGGGCATGAAAAAAATCGTGGGTGTTGGGTTTTTTTTTTAAGTTGTACTAAAAAGTACCAAGCATTAAAAGCAGAATAAGTTTTAAGAGATTATGAAAAAAACCCATCTCTGACCCCAGAGTAAACTCTACACAGGTGCATGGTTTTGATAACTACAGCTTGGAGCAGGTCTGTAAGGTGCTCAGGAAGGAATAGACATTATCCACATTACATAATAACAAAATTAGCTGATGATTACATAATATGTAAATGTTCGTTGTGCTCTTCACCACACGAAAGTTTGGTATTTTTTTTTTCCCAGAAAGACTGCGTATTTTTTTTCAGAGACCCATGTTGCAGTTACAGATGAACTTTTCCCAAGCAAGTACCTTGTTTTCTTTTTAAATTGGACCTAAAATGTATACAGGAAATAATTTATTAAGTAACTTAAGAGGAATTAATTTATAAAGAAAATGCTTGACAGTTAAGAATAACAAAACCCCATATATAAAAGCCTTGACTTTCAAGACTCGTGACAATCATGACATTTGCAGCAGTCCACAGCACTTGCCAATCATTTAATTTCAATAAATTCTACAAGCTGCAAAAGTTCTGAAAACAGGTATATGAAGCACATTAACTTAAAGCTTAGAATAGATCAGAAAAATATTTAAATTTATTTAAAATGGCTTTAAATTGATTTTAAATTGCTTTAAAATTGCTTTAAAATATTAAATCAAGAATTTAAATCAGTGTTTTCTTCTTGTATTAAAGTTCATTACAACACCAAAGAATAAAAAAAAAGGCAGAAAAACCTGTCAATTATCTAACATAAAGGTCAAAAAATAACAACAGCAGTAGGCAGGAGGATACTTACAGTTTACAAGCAGAGGTGTTGTAGAGACTTCGTTTCCCCTGTGTTTGTTAGTTAGGGTAGTTGATTGTTTTATTGGTGAGAAATGCTTAGTGGTTGATGGAGTATAAACATGCCTTACTTGGATACCAGGGGAAGGAGAAGTGTGGATGTTGCATTCAGCTACATTGAACCAAGAAAACAGACAGGATTTTAGTACCATTAAGAACACTAAAAGAAAGCCACAGATTTTAAGTAGAAAGCACCAGTATCACAACAGCCTTAAAACCCACGTTAGGTAAGCTTCTTGACAGTTTTTTTCCACTTGGTATTGCGAGTGTTGACTAAAGGCTGTATTCATTTCTGGCATACAACAATGCTGCTACTCCACAACTTCAGTATGGCACCATGTCACCCCAAGACAAACGGGTGTCTAAATGAGGTAAGCCTTTGTCTAGATTTTCCACATGCCTGACGTGGATTTATCAAGTAGGATGGCTCCACCTAGTCTGACATACGCCCACTCACACTCTCCAGTGCAATAACACGATACAGCTGTGGTCAGCCATGGAGTCTGGTAACCGCTCAGCTCATCCCTTTGCCCACTCTCTAACCACTCCACTGCATGAGTGGGGACCACCTTCACTAATTTTCTTCACCAGTACTTTTTGCACTCCTGTTGGATAAAATTGTAACTGCATTATGAATGCCTTACGAATACTTATCCAGCAGGAAGAGAGATTCCACGCTAACTTACATAAAATGCAACAGCAGGACACCACGGGAAGTCATTCACTGCTGCTGTGTTCATTTGTAGAACTTTTCTAGCTTTCTATTAGAATCTAATGGCATTTTATTACAAAATACATATGTTCTCTTGCCTTCTAATTCTCAAAAGTAGGTTCTGCGAAGTAGCTGAGAAGTCAAGTGATTTTTAAGCAGCTAACTGATTACATACTGGAAAAACATATTGAAGGCTTAAACTCCATTATCGGCTGAACTGATCTGACACCAGTGTGCACTAACAGTTAATGACTGGAAGCTAATTAACATGCACACTGAATTCACACCGTAAGAGAACTTCACGATCATAAACCCAAGCGTAAATTCAGGGAAAGAACCAATTAAAAGCAGAGGGTAACAGGATGAAAATGAAATCATATTTTGTTTGCCAAACAGCTACAGCTGACGCGATCAAATGAAGAGACCTACCAGGGATTTTTGACCTGCGGTCCCTACATCTGCAGGACTACTTCTAAGGGGTTCACAAATGTTACCTACAAAAAACAACCCTATCAGATGGGTCTAAATTTGCCGTTCAGGTCTGCAGCTCCACTAGTAGCACTTCGGGCCTGCAAATCAAAAAAGCTTGAAAATTACAATGGCTGAACTGCAGCCAAACAATATAAATCAGAGAAATCATCAAAATCAACAATAGGTGTGCGTTTGCATTTGTTATAGGAAATGGGTCAAATTAAACCTCATGAAAAGATACACTAATGACAATCTGAATTATTACAGTGAGCACTGGAAACTCTAATTGTTAAAGGGAAACAGAAATCCTAATTCTGCTGTCCACTGATATGCTCAGCCATGAAAAAGCACGGATCAGTTCTGATGAAGCTGCCCAACAATGGCTGGAGATCAGCTGCAGGGATCCAGAACTGCAGCGGCATCTGCTTCCAGGTGGTGTGATGCACAATTGGTGAGCCAATCACTCTACGGGCTTTGTACAGCCATTTTGATAAAACAAAGTCAACCGCATGACCTATGTTATTTTCTCATCATACTAGCAAAAAGATAAAACCTGCTGCAGAAAGCTACTAAGTGGAAATGATCATATAGTGCTTTCGGTAGTGTTCCGTAAAGACAGATACATTCAACAAGTAGCATGTTGTAGGACATGCTAGACAAAAGAGTAAGCTTGTTTTCACAATCAGCATCAGCTCTTACTAAATTACATTACAGACTTCTTGTGCCACTACTTTTTCAATTAAAAAAAAATTAAAAATGTGATTTTAAAAACAATCTTAGGGGAAAGTAATTTTACATTAACAATCCATTAAGCATTTAATAAAAATATTAGGGGAACAAGTCGCAAAAAACTATTACTGATTAACACACACGTAAGGCACACACTAACAGCTTGGTAGGATGACACAAGTCCACACATAACAATTTGTACCATAAAGTTCAACCTTTAAATAAGACAGATGCCACTTCAAGGTCAGAGTTAACTTGGTCTTGAATATTTTTACTGTCCTCCTCATTCAGAGATTTCACAAATCTCGAGCAGACGTTCATATCAAATCTATTGGGCAAAATGAATTTCATTCCCATGGCAACGCTCTGAGCTGGGCCTTCTTCTGTGCCAGTGTCAAGCTGATGCTCCACTTTAATGTCCGGCATGGGTGGAAGGCTGTAGCTAGTGGGACATTCTTCTACAATTAACTGGGCCCCAGCATCTAAGTTTGATGAAGATGCCATGGCCTCAGTCAAGTAAAAGTTTTATGCAGAATGTTTCTTCATAGTTTCTAGCTGAGCGCAGTTCTGGCCAACCAGTCTGTATCTAAAGAGATCCTGATGTTTGGATAACCTGCAACTGAACACGCGTAACATATGTTAACAACATTCTAGCAAAGTAACATAAAAATACATCAAACTTGGTTTCCTTTAAGCTTACAGCATTTGGTTTTGGTAGTCAAAACCTTGGTGAAATACTAGTCTTACTGCTGTTACAAGCCAGAACCAAATCCTCCATTTAAATTTTAGCACATGGATATTGAAGCCAAACTCGCGGCAGGAGTTAAATCTAAGCGACATTTCAGAATATTAGTCTAGTTGCAATAAAAAACCCACCACAACCAACCATGGTTATACCAAGACAGAAACAAGCTATAATGAGATGACGTTATTGACTAAAAATATTAGACTTGAAGGAAAAGTTAAAGTGACTTTATCTCCCTTTATGACTCTGAAGTCCATTCATAACCCAAGTGAAATAAATGGCTTCTGCCATACACGCAGGAAAACGATAAATCCTGTTTTAGACCGACGCCAGCAAAACATCCAAAAATGCCCGGGTTTTTTCGACAGCACCGCGGGAATTCTAACGTCAGGCCGGGCTCCGCACCCGCGGCTGGCAGGCAGAACAGCCGGGCAGCCCCGGGGGGTTCCTGGAGCCCTCCCCCCGCCCTGCAGGTCGCCGACTCCAGGGTGAAAGGCC